ATATAAGGAGAAGAGTCTTAGATAGCCAGATATATAGTTCATTGCGCATTTATTTCATATTTTTTTTCAATTAAATAAATCCTTGTATTTTTATACTTAACGCAAAACACATTGTTTCCTTAAAGAGACTTGCTAAACTTGTAGTTTGACCTAAAGAGTGACACAGCAATGTTTTAAATCATTTTCAAATAAGTTTAACTAATATATCGCGTTTTAAACCGTTAAAGTGTTTTATTTAAATGTGTACTACTCGCGTAAAATATGTACAGTATTTAATGTTTTAAATGTCACCGAATTAAGGACTCGCCTCTCACGAATCTAACTAAAACAAAACAAAAATTCAAAATTAAATTGATTAACGTCCATCTTATCGTATCGACAGAAACAAAATAAAATCGTACAGCATAAATGCAAGATAGCGCGGATCTACATTCAACATCTCAATTATCGATCGCGTGATTCAATTTATTACGCGAGTGCTCCGGAGATAATTTTGAGAAGTAAAATAAATACGAGAGGACAAACAAGCTCGTAATTAAGAATTTAAGTTCCTTAGCAAAATTGTCACGGAACACGGCTGATTTATCGTCCGACTTTATTAGGGGTTAACTCGAGAACGTTCTTTCAAATTATGAAAATTTATTATTGACATAATCTTTAAGAATTGCTAAGAACTATGTTGTTGGCCGCTTCATGTTTTTTTTATCATTGTTACTCTCATTTGAAGTATCCTCAATACGACGAAACAATGTTATTCAATCTTAAAAATGTTGCCTACAAAATCTATATACATATAGCAAATATATATAAAAACTTAATATCACTATATAATTAATATTATATATATTAAACGTAATTAAATTAGAAACCTCTTTGTTTGAGAATTACTAATTAACTCAATGAACTGCCTTTTTACATCCGTATGTTCTTTCTCAAGACAATACGAGGTTTTATTAGTACAGCAAATAATCTTGCATTGGAGAGTAACTATGAATCTCATTAGTACAAATTAAGTAACCAGAGAGATCTATCGATAACGAAACTGGAACAACTAATTCGAATAGCGTCGACCCACAAAAAGCTAGACGAGCGAAACGGGGCTCGCTTTTTTGTGCTCCCCAATAGTGGATGTCGTGCGCTCCACTGCGCCCTCCTAATTGGATCTACCTGTTGCGTCTCCTTACGGCTTTTTATCTTACGCGATGACTTCAGTGATGAGCACTTTACGTAACTCAACATCGCGAGCTAATGCGAACTCCCCTTGGCTTTCATAAAATACGCACGGTTGCGGCGGGTTTACGATGAATTTTTATATCCGATTCTCCCAGGTAAAATTAACGCAATGCCCAGTCAGTATTAATCTTTTCGGTAGCACAATTCTAGCTTAGATTAGCTCTAGTTCCTGGGTTTGAATATTGGGGAAACACCACATTGTATAAGTACGGTGGGGCATACAATTTGTTAGTGGAAAACGGGATTCCCCAGTACACACGCCTTTATAATGTTTAATTAAAAATACAAACTATTACCCTTATATTAATTCCAGAGTGAATATAATTCCAAGGGTCCAGTGGAAACCGACGATTCATTTCCCAAACAATCCCAAGAGGCTCAATTAAAAAACCTAATCAATTCGGAGCGCTGGCTTTGAATATTGTCGTATCCGTGAAGGAGCAGAATTAGGTAGAACAGGCGTGGCGTGACAATACCACGGAAGCAGATCGAAGCCAGGTCAATAGGTACGTAATGCACTCGTACGAACGGTGCATTCACCCCTTGTGAGGCAACGATTGAAGTTAAATGTCGATCGTTGTTAGACAATTGACAAGGATTGATTATTATTACTGCTGCGTTGAAGGGTAGGTATGGTCTTACAGTGGCTTGGCGTGTCGCAAGTGTTTACCGTGACTATAGCTTTGTTACCAAACTTAAAATCAAAATAGCTTATGCTTGTAACAAGAAATATGTAACATCACTGTCAACAAAATCCATTTATCTGTTTGACTAACGGTGTCTTCGCGTTTGCCGGTATGCTGCATACCGGTTTAACTAATATATTTCGCGTTTCAAACCGTTATTGTTTGTATTTCTCATGCCGAAAAGGGTTCTGTTTAAATGCCCTATGGCATGCATATTTTTATTTATTTATATTGTAGGTGATTTTCGTAACTCACGCCTACCCTACTTAGCTCGGTCAAGAACACCGACAGATACTGTTACCGACCGATTGATGAGGTCCAGTGAGGCGTGACGCGACGTGCGATCAAGTGCGCGAGCGACGCTCCGACGCGTAGGCCGATTCTCCACGCGCCGTGCGACCGTCCCTTGCCGGAAACAGAGTGACAACACGACAAAAACCTCATTCATTCATCGTTTTTTCCCACAGCCACCTGATCGAGACGAGGCCGTGGTGGATATCGATTATCATTCTTATTCGATTAGTGATGCGCTTTGCGATTACCATCTCATGCTTCCTGGTGAAAAATTGAAAAACAAATGCATAACTCCATTCTTTAAGCATACCTCAATTAGCTTTGCTTTCGTCCATGTTACTGATAATGATTTTATAACTACCTCGCTGAACGCGAATAAACTATAACCGAAGATTTTCCATCGACATTCTCACACGTTATTCTGACCGCAATAAAGGTCGTAAAAGGCGTACAGCGTATTATTTACACATCGGTCGTAGTGCACTTGACCAGTTCGGAGATTTGTCGGTTCGGGCGACGCCGGCGGGCGGCCGCACGATCGCCGTCTAACCATTGTTTTGACGTGCCGTAATGATTTGTGCGCGAGCGCCGATCGATCTCTTGCGCCAATTTATAGCCTTTCCTAGACACGGGCAGCACTCGCAGCAAATTAGAGTCCGATCGACCTACTTGCGTTATAGCAAAATTACCTGCAGCGAATAATGTATAAAAACGATACACAATTTTGTTTATTCTTAGTCTGAGTATGATTCGTATTTACTTTTGCCGAAGTCCTCAAGAAATAGCGATTTTAATATTTAGGAATAACTTATGTTTAAATGGTTAACTATTGCTGCTTTCCTATTTCAAATATCATAAAGCGAGCCATTAGTAGTTAATAGATTCTCACTGAATACGCACGTTCTCTTCGCGTATGACACTTACACCATAATTTCCAACCAATTAAAACATGCAAAGTAATCGTAAAGATAATAGAAAGACTTTACATCTGCAATTATTGTCTCATAAAACATAAATTTCCATAATTGTTTCTTACTTGTTACGTGAAATGCTTTTAAAATAATTAACCTTAATTAGTATCGGAGGTTTATGAGGTAAATTTAATGGGTTCGTTACAATCGCTCTGAAACATGATTGAGTCATCGTCGGAATCAGCCTTAGTTAGGCCGGAGCTCTTAATCACGGCAGTCGATAAAGAGCGGCCATAAAACTAGTAGTAAAGCAGTAATTAATGTAGCTCGCATTCATTTAACGGAGAGGTGCTGCGGCAGGCGAGTCGTGCTAAACAATCGCTCGATTAGAAAATCTGCTCGGAATGGTAACGCGTCGATAACAACCGCCATTAAACTCGCTCTCAGCTTAAAGGAAATCTCAGATTACTTCGAGTTCAGCCAGGTTTAACATTTAACATGGTGTAACACGCTGTATTACATTCTTTTAATTGCAGTCCCTTTCTTGACGTCAAATTCAAAGTTATTCTTGTTGAATATGCATGTCCTATTTGATCTTCTCTTAAGGTTGCATTATATCTATACTATTATAATATATAAAGCTAAAGAGTTTGTATATTTCTTTTTCCACGCGCTAATATCAGGAATACTGGTGGGAATTGAAAAGAAACTTGAAATTCTTTTCGTGTGTGGAAAAAACGGGAAAACGTAAAGAAAACGTGGAAAATTATTAATCTTTACGGATTTCCATTGTCAACCCAAAAATATGTATGAAAGAATGATTCCTCTTTACATGTCCGCGTATATGTACTCTCCTTTTAGATTAACTTGCACAAACTACGGGACACGACCGACGTCGTGGACAATACCGTAAATCTATTAAGATGACGAGTAAATAACTATTCTACTACAGCTAGTGTTTCTATATTAACAAATAGTAATTTTTGGCACTACGCCAACTATTAAATAATTCCTATCAAATTCGCAATGTGAAATATGATATTCCCCATTGCGTTCGCATAAATCCCGTCAACGAAGGCATTAGAGGCACAAATCACGCGCCGCGTATCACTAATTATTCTGTGTCTACTCCGACGCGGCCGCCATATCTAAAACAACCGACCGCACAAGTAACAGATGTGATTGAAAATCGTAAATATTGCACGCACGTGACGCGCTATCTATATAGAAACTACCGCGCGGATCCAATTTCGTCGAAATTTAATGTAAATGCATGAATTTTCCCCGTGCCACTCGTACAATCAGTGTCGAGAGCTGACATTTGCATATGCGTCGCTGAAATTTCCGAATAGCTATTCCATGAAGCTTAACCGAGTTGAAAACTTGGCGAGCGCGGGGCGACGTTGCGGCGAGCGGTGATGCGGTGTGCTGTTCCTTCCACTATGACGTAACGGGGTTAAGTGATTCAGGATTCGAGTGAGAAGAAATCGGCGCTCGTCGCGGAGAACATCTTTATGGAAAATTCGTATGTCAATGGTGCAGCGTGGAGAGGATGGCTGCATGAGAACATCCGTGTTTGAGGTTAGGCATAAAGTACGAGGTTAGGAAGAATTTTGTACGTTTAACACAAGTCAAGAAGTGCGTAATTGTAAAGTAACTAAGAAAATTAATTTTACTGTTTTGCTGAGCATTAATAGTAATAAATAAATACAATTATAGTAATATTGAGAAAGATAGTAATCGAAACTGCGATGATTATTTCATATAGACAACTAAAACAATATACAGTTGATATTTTCTCGTCACGATTTTCGATGTTAGACGCATAAACATTTAATAATAGCTAGCAAAAGTTAAGTCGTTTTATTTACAAGTGATGGATACCAGACCTAATCTAAAAATACCAAGAGAAACAGCTCAAAGCAATTATCCCTCGCAGATACCACATCTACGCAGAGGTCGTAAAAAGTATATCGCTACTGTGCACAAGTGGCTATTAGCGGGAGTTATCTGCGACATACGCTTACGGCATAAGGGCTCGCGCCATGCTAATGGCGTGCTTCGAACAGATTTTCGAGTAAAAAAGGGGCAGGTGTCGCCGCACCGCGACAAATTGGTCGGAAAATCCAGGCTGCATCTAGCTCGGGTGACATCCGCACATGTCAATCCCACCTGACGAATGTTCACAGTTTGTTGATGCATTGCACGCGAATTGCAACTGTGATACGGAAAAGAAATGTGTGGTGTTTGATCAACGTGTAATAAAACCACCAAAAATTTCGTAATAATACTTACTATTATTACGGCATACGTATTATAAAACCTTTTTCCTAGTTTTGCTTTACTACTAGGACAGTGCGGATTTCAATTTTGGGGAGACAAACAATACTGCATGGATTGGGTCAGGATAACAAACTTTTTTCTATAAATAATATCGATACACGCATGTAACTGTCACTAAAACGCCCCCCCCCAAAATATCAAAATGGCTTTGGATATCTAGAAACCGCAAATTGAGACCGAAACGCGATTAAACTTCACGGCTTTTTAATATGTGGACCTGAGAGGAATTTAGATAATGCTTACACAATAACTACAATATCTAGATTTGCAGACAAAGCCCAACATATTACATAAAACTTATAAATCGAATCCAAGACGACTCGTTGATTATTAGCCATGCATTAGACGAAGGACGTCATTAAATTGAGTAAACATCTATGAGCATTATGTTTGCATTTAGTATCTTTAAAAGCGAAATTAGTTTACAGTGAGAGCCATTTACATTTCGTTACCACAATGACTCGCAGCTATCTGTACAACTGCCGTTGTTGTTGTAGATAAGACAATAAGCTATGAATAGAAATCACAGCGAAAAAGTGAAAGGCTCCATGGATTATGAATATTATCTGTCAGTAAATAAATATCCGAAAATAGGAGTAAGCTCGGTATGCGCGATGCGTGACAGCGATAACTGTCAAGAAAATACCGATGGCGGAGTGTCTCGTAAATAATGTATGACGATAGTCATTCGCGAGATAAAACACGTACGGACAACTCGTAAAAAAAAAGAACACAAAACGGTCCCGCACGCGTTTCCGGCCGTGGCGTCACGCAGAAAGAGCGCAGATTATTTAACATTCGCCCATAAAACAACTGTATGCTACCCTCGTAACAACTGCGGGATATGTTTCGTGGAAAAGTCGGAAGCGAAGAATTTAGTCAAGGTTTCAGATAATCGAAGTAGTTTTCACGCTTTCATATATTTGAGTTTTAAATATCTATATATATCTTGTACATAAATATAAGAAACCGTAATGTGGGGTTGTAAACAAAAATATTATGTTTTTCCAAACATATAAGTAAATGCAAATAGGGTGTTTTAAAATCTATTAAACGAGATAAACCATCGTTAAAATTGTACGAAGAGACTCGGCGTTTTAAATTAATTCAATCGATAAATCAAACGCGTTATTTATTTTAGCAATTAAACGCCCCCGATCGCGCTAAGAGGCAGTAAACTTGCGTTGCATCGAATTTTAATACGGTCGCATATTTTATTTTGTTTTGATTTAAAACAACGACCGCGTAAGGTCTGAGAGCAACCTGTAACAGCAGATTGTAACATAAGTGGTAATATTTCTTCACGTTAAAAAATTGCCTTAACAGTTATAATGATTAAATACTGTCTATAATTTACGCGAGTAGTACACATTTAAATAAAACACTTTAATTAAACTAATATATCGCGTTTGAAACCGTTAAAGTGTTTTATTTAAAAGTTATATTGATTTCATTCAACTAATAAACTTGTATTTTGAGTTGATAGTTCTTTTTTCACGTCCAAATGGCTAAAATGGGAAAATAATACATATTGTCATGAATATTGGTTTTTCATTTGACAAATTTTGTTAATATGTTAAGACAACCTCGAGTTGGCCAATTTTATGTTAATCGTCTTATTTTTTAAACAATACGTAAATAAGAGACTAGCGCGCTTGACCGATCTAGACTGTTTGAAATTAATTGAAATATAATTGCATTGAAAATAATTTTAAAAAACTTCCAAAATAAAATTTTCACGTCGTTCACAGTACGCCCACTAAAAAATTAAAGATCAAGCGATTAGCCGATGCAAATAAAAGTAAGTAATTAATTGGCGCATTTATACAACTATTACGGATGATCAAAAAGCAATTAAGCAGGAGTAAGCAACCCGCGGTCTACACGCCCAGCCTTCGATTTCGATTAATGGTGCTTTTTGTTTGAACTCGTTCTGGAATCATTTGCATAAGAATGTTATTGTCTGTGTACGGGCCCGTAATCGACAACTTCTTTGTTGTCGCGTTACGTGTAGTAGTTGCGAGTCACACACTCCTCTTACCAACACGAATGTCGCTCGAGACAATGATGGGATGAGCCCACGCGTTTACTGAATCTAGGAAGTTGTACCTCTCCATATTTATGCATTTGTAGCTGTTAATACAATGCATCTAAAACATGACACTTGGAAACAAGCCCCGAGTCGTAGAACACTGTTGAATTGTATACACCATAAGTGTTCTAATTAAAAAGTTAAACATTCTTTCTTACTATATAAAGAGGCTGAGTACACTTCATATATTCTATTTATGTAAAATGTAAATAAATTTAGGAATTTAAAATTTATACTTCAAGCGTGAAAAATAGGATTCTTGGAAAAAATGCTGTAAAAAAGTCTTCAAGGCCGAGTATCTTTAAACACAATATGAATGAAAGTTATTAATTCTTAGTTATCAATTATAATTTTAATGTAACTAAGTCAAGTGTATTCAGAATTGTTGGATTTTCATTCTACTTTCTTGTCTATATTATTTATTGTGTTCTGTGCCTATTAAATAATGTTTGTTCACTAAATTGATAAATAAAAATAAAATATGAACTAGAATAGTCACGTTTCATTCAGTATTTGCAAATGGTTATAAAAATAAAGAAATAGCGAGTCCTCATTCAATCTGAAGCACCCTTTGATAGCCCACATGAGATGCATAAATAAAGGCGGAGTATGTTAGTTCTATGAACGAGGCATTCATGCTTTGACATTGGTGATGAGTCATGACGTCAGTGAAGATCGCAATACGCAGTCCGCTATAATTGCGCAAGCGCACTTACTCGAGGCGCGAACGAAAACTTGAACTTTAACCGCAGCTTTAGCGGTCAAGCGCAATGTGTATAAGGGTTCATGTACACTAAAGATTTAGAAATCGCATTTTTTTTTATTTAAAAAAATGTGTATTAATAATAAAATCATTTATTAAAACATTGCTTTTTATATTAATGCTCTTGTAAACAGTTTTGTAATCATTGTACCTATCAATTTATGCCACAAAAGTAAACATTACCCGAAGTTCCCACAGACTAAATATTAAGAAGTTGGTTTTTAATTCAGACCTATAATAAACTTATTGTTAAGGTGTAATCGAACTACTGATAAACGGTCATTCACACTCATCTAGACATCTAGGATAGAGACAAGGCCGATAAATGCTAGTAGCCGGAGCCCGCAGGTGGGTATCGGCGATGATCCATGGGAAGAGCGGTCGTGCGCATCCGGACTGCGCCGAGACTAATCGCCGCTAATTGTGTCTATGGACACCGGCTTTAATCATTTCCAACGAGATCGCAGCGACAAACAAACACCGGCTCGCCGAAGGGATTGCACCTAATTTGTTTGCGCCTAGGCATCCAGTAGTTTTTGCTGTTGCGGCGTAAGCGTCGGTATATAGCATGTGGAAGGAGTTGTTACTTTGTATGCAAACTGTAACATAATACACGTAGTATAAAATCATAGTATCATTAATCATCAAAGCTTTACATGTCGTTTGATTGGATAAATACATAAATAGCTTTTATGACGTAACTTTGCTATTAAATATGATAGCATATTGCGAATAGTGCTAAGACATTTTATCAAACGTCTCATTTAGTGTCTCACTGAGATAAATAAAAATACAGGTTTTAAAACTGGTTCAGGACATACTTCTAATTTTAATGTGTTCCAAAAACGGTCTTTCAACGTTGGCTCAAAGCGCCGTGCATATTTCTGTGTATAACCAAAAAGACTAGACACGAATAATGTATCCCAAAATTAAACTTATTCATTCACGTCAAATTAAACCGTTATTATTTGGGAATAAAGACGTAATTGGCCCGTAGTGGTGCACGAAACGAACTTTTTACGTATCAACGATAAATCATCAAAGCGCATCGGTTGCCCGATACAATGTCAACAGCGGCATCGCAAACGAACACATAAATTATAATCATGAATTACGATTAAGAGATATCGAGTGCCGTGTAATTTCTTAGACTTATCGAATTTCGTATCCACGTCCATGTACGCATAATATCGTGTAACTTGAAACATTGTCTAGTTTTAAGAATGACTAACGCACGTGGCGTTAATATAAAATGAGAAAGACTTATCTTAAAAATATATATTAATATTTTTTCTTAATAGGATGCATATAGCTTAATTATTTTACTAATAAATATTTGTGTATATGTTTACACCATTTATCCCAATGTTCCACGCCTTTACATGATACGATGCAAAAAAAATAATATACACTTTGGCTTCCACCTTAATATTTTTTTCCATATTGTAAATCTCAAGAAGATATATACATCGCTTAGCCTTATTAGTTTTCGTAAAAATCAACTCGGTTATTCAGATGCGAAACCGTAGTATGCTTCTTTATTGCAATCGCATTACAGCAAATATATTAAACACCGAAGCAAAAGCTATCACTTTAAACGTTGTAAATCCGCACCGACAATAAAAATATAATAACCATGAGAAATGAGGTTTTGTCCATAATTTACGCTCAAAGTGACACCGTAAGAATCGTGAGGCAAATTGGGTGTTAAATTCTTTAAGTCCGATATCGAATGAGATAATTTATTTGTAAAAGAAGGCCTTGCAGGTCAAGTGGGTACTATATAATCGGGAAGTAATAGTTGTTGAGGAAAGTGTCGATGCATTTAAAAAAAAAAAAAAAAAAAAAAAAAAAAAAAAAGGGGGGGGGAAAAAAAAAAAAACCCCCCCCCCCCCCCCCCCCCCCCCAAAAAAAAAAAAAAAAAAAAACCCCCCCCCCCCCCCCCCCCCCCCCAAAAAAAAAACAAAAAAAAAAAAAA